ATCTGGTGGCGGTACAAGTGAAGGACAAGGAAGGATCGGACTTCGTCCTCGCATCCGCATACTTTCCCGGAGAAACGGCCACAACAAAAACAAAGCCAAGCGCACAGGCAGCTGGGAGGACTACAAACGGCACCTAACAATCTATAACAAGGAGATTAGGCTTGCCAAGACAAATAGTTTCAGGAAATTCTGTGATAGCATCTCCTCGACCCCGGAGGCAGCTCGGCTGCACAAGGCGTTGTCGAAGGGTAAGATGGACACAATATTATCCCTAAAAAGACGGGACGGGACCTATACGACAAGCGCGGAGGAGAGGGCTGAAACACACCTACAAACGCACTTCCCGGAGACAGCTCAAGCTGACCTAACCCCAGCCTCGGTCATACGGAAGCCGGATCGCTCAGACTGGCTGACTACAATGAATCTATTCACTGCAGATTCAGTCAGGTGGGTACTGGCCTCCTTTTCAAGCTTTAAGTAACCGGGAGTGGACGGCGTCTTCCCGGCTCTCTTGCAGCAGGGCATGGACATTCTCCTACCACACCTGATAAGGCATGAGGATGAGAGACAGCCTGGTGAAGTCGTATATTCCTGAGCCATGGAGAATTGCAAAAGTAATTTTCATTCCTAAGGTAGGGAGGAGAGACTATTCGCTAGCCAAATGGTTCCGCCCTATAAGTCTCACACCCCTCATGCTAAAGGGGATGGAAAAAGTAATAGACAACCATATCAGATCGGAAGCGCTGAAGATCGCACCCCTACATGCCAAACAACATGCGTATAGAGCGGGTAGATCCAAAAACACTGCTCTGTACCAACTCACGTCTGAGCTGCAGGATTCGATAGATAATGGCGAGGTTGCGATCTGTGCTTTCCTAGACATTGAGGGTACATTTGATAACACGTCTCACACTAGCGTGATCAAGGCACTCGAGAGAAGGAACGTAACCACCCCAATACGCAGATGGATAGAAGCCCTTCTGCACACTAGGGTAGCAGAAACAACAACGGGTGAAAGTAAGATTCGTCTTGGCACCACAAGGGGCTGCCCACAGGGTGGAGTACTATCCCCTCTGCTGCTCACCAGCAATGGAATCCGCTGTCAAGGATACGCGGACGACATTGTCATAATGGCGAGAGGTAGATTTGAGAACACTCTCTGTGACATTGTACAAAGGGGCTTAAACTTGGCGAAAGGATGATGCAACACGGTAGGGCTAAATATCAACCCAGCAAAAATCACCGTGATCCCATTCACTAAGCGGAGATCTCTTCCTGGCCTGAGGTCCCTAACAATTGAAGGCACAGAGGTGGAAATGTCCAAGGAGGTCAAATTCCTTGGCCTCACCTTAGACTCATCATTAGGGTGGAGTAGGAATTTGGACTTAACGCTGTCCAAAGCAACAAGATCACTTATGATTTGCAGACGCCTGGCCGGCAGATCATGGGGATGCAAGCCAAGCATCATCAGATGGAGCAGCAAAACGGAGTGGAATGACTCCACGCTGGAAAGGCTGCTGGAAGACAGTACCATTCAATGGTACACTGATGGCTCTAAAACCCCGGAAGGTATTGGGGCAGGTATTGTGGGGCCAAGTACCGAGTTGTCCATACCTATGGGCAGCTCCCAAGTATCTTCCAGGCAGACGTTTTTGCCATCTATCAGTGCGCTGAAGTCAACCTCAGCCGCAACTATCGCAACCAGTGCATAGCTATTCCCAGCGATAGTCAAGCGGCTCTAAAAGCGATCTTGTCATACGAGACCAAATCGCTTTTAGTTGAGGAATGTATAGAAAGGCTAAACCGCCTGTCCTTGAGCAATCGGGTGCACCTAATGTGGGTACCAGGGCACAAAGAAGTGGAAGGTAATGAGAAGGCCGATGAACTGGCCCGCACTGCGGCAGCATCCAAGATGTTGGGACCAGAGCCATACATAGCGGTAGGACCCCACTCTTAAGGAGCTGCTCCGCACGGAGGAGAGAGAACGGCACTGGCAGCAGGCAACAAGCATGCGCCACGCCAAGCTGCTCCTGGGAGGATTTAATCTCTCCAGGTTTAAAGAACTAATCCACCTCCCCCCGAGAAAAACTTCGTCTCCTCGTCGCAATCTACACAGGGCACTGAATGCTCAGGAAACACCTGTCCAACATGGGCATGGTCTCCTGTGCTAACTGCCGGTTCTGCGACCTGGAACAGGAAACACCAGCACACCTAATCCTGGATTGCACAGCAATCTGTGGAAAAGGACTCAAGGCCCTGGATTCTGTCTATATCAGCAGGGATCACATCACCTCACTAGCGCCCGGCAAACTCCTGGAACTATTCAGGCTGCTGGGGCTCTGGGAGGTCATGTGATATATATATTTATTAGTATACTATATGGTGTTAAAAGGCAAAAATTAAAAATAAATTGTGTCGAGATTCGAACCCGTGTTCAGAAATAAAAAGAACATTATTAGTTTTTGATGAATCTGAAATTAAAAAGAGAAAAAAGGGTTTTAGTTACTTGGCTAATATAAATTTATTGCATATATTTCTTTTACCTTTTACAAAACGGAAGCTGCTAGAAAAATTAAATATGGCCCACAATCTATGTTACCAGTTTCTTAAATTTTTGTTTTTCATTATAGTATCTCGCCCTCACTTCATTTTTAAAAAGCTCTTCCTGTTGGTGGTTGAAAGCTGACATGAATCATGAATATATATTAGGTAAATCTTTTATTTATTTAAAATGACTTATTATAAAATAAGATCAAATTAACATAAAAGAATTTGAAAAATAATAAATAAAAAATAAAAATAAAGTTCTACATACATACATATTTCCATACAAAATGGAACATATTTCCTATGGAATATCAAAGAAATTATTTTTCTTCAATATTCTCTGTTTGGGAGTATCATCATGGACATGCATACATACATATATTTATGTCTTTTCATATTCTTGGACATTTTTCGCTGTTCAAAATGGAATAAAATATGAACGAAAAGCAAAACAAAACAAAATTCTTCGTTGGGAGTGTACTCATGGGCATGCATACATATATTTCTGTTGTTGTTGTTGTAACGATTATCAGTCCCCGTTGGGATGGTGAGGGTTATCAGTGTTGTCGTCGATGTCATC